AGATTGATCTATACTTTTTGAACATATATTTTTTATATTCAATTTATTTTTACCCTACTTTTAGCCTATCTTAAACCTAGATTGAATGTAATATCAACCTACAACCTACAATGATCCTATATTTATAACTATTTTAAACCTAATACGTTGGACCTATACATTGAACCTTTACATTACGTTTAACCCTTTACCTACCTTTGTACGTATACCTTTATTACAACATTAAACCTTCATGGAACCTACTTTGAACCTTCTTTAAACCTCCTTTGAATATATCTTGACTTTGTTTTCAACCTACTTTGACCCTATACATTGAAAGTACTTTTAATATTAAATACTTTAAACTAAATACTTAAATATCAAGAAAAGTAGGTTCAAAGTAAGTTAAATGTAGGTTTAAATAAGGTCTACCCAGGTGAAACAATTCTACGGAAACTACTTCACGGAAATTTCACACGGAATTCCGTAAAAATTATATACGGAATTCTGCAAAAATTTCCGCAAAATTTTTTAAAGAAATTCTTTTGTAATTTTGCGAATTTTTTATAAGAATTATACACATAATCTCTATACAGAATTGCACAAAATTTTTGTTAGAATTTCACAACTGTACACTGAAAAAAATTTAGCCGAAATCCTCAACTATATACCTTTAGTTAACTGACTTGAAAGTAGTAAAAGTAACTACTTTTTTGGTTAAAGTTAAAGTTAAAGTAGTAATAATTAAGGTCTAATGTAGGCTTAAAGTATGTTCAACTTAGTTTCAATGTAGGTCCAATGTAGGTCTAATGTAGGTTTAATTGTATAGGGTCAAGGATCAAAATATGTTAAAAGTAGGTCGTAAAGAAGGTAAAGAAGGTTCAAATAAGGTCCAATTTAGGTTATAAGTAGTTTTATTTTAAGTTCAATGTAGGTACAATGTACGGAGAAAAATGGAAAAACGAATAAAGTAACTTTTACTATACTTTAAAAGTAAAACCGTATAACTGACCGCAGTTTTTGCGCATTTCTGCGGTAATTATTTTTACTCCAGAAATAGTAAAATTTACTCCTGAAATAGTAAAAATTATTTCGGAAATAGTAAATTTGACTATTTTTGGAGTAAAAATTGCCACAGAAACTGCGGACAGTTACGGTTTTACTTTTAAAGTATAGTAAAAGTTATCTTTTTCTATTTTTCTCCATAAATTGAACCTAATTTGAGCTCAAAATAAAACTACTTAAAACCTTTACATTGAACCTTCTTTAAAATTACTTTTGACCTACTTTTAACATATTTTGATCCTTGACCCTATAATTAAACCTACATTGGACCTACTTTGAACCAATACTTTAAGTCTACATTAGACCTTAATTGTTACTACTTTGAACCTAAAAAAAAACTTACATCCTACCTTGAACCTAAAATAAAACTTATAACCTACATTAAAACCAGATTGAACTTTTATTTAAACCTACTCTCTAAATCTGAATTAGTAAAAAAGTTTACTAATTTGAATTATAGTAACTCACTTTTTGCTTCTCAATTAGTAAAATTTTACTAATTATTAGTAACTTTTACTAACAATTAGTAAAATTTAACTAATTCTAAAGCAAAAAGTGAGTCACTATTTTAAATTAGTAAACAGTTTTATTAATTCAGATTTAGAGAGTACATTTAACTTATACTTTGAATCTATTGAACTCTCTATTTTTTCTCTCTCTCTCTCTCTCTCTTTTTTTTAAAAAAAAAGGAAAAAAGTTCTTTCACTAAGTCGGTGGACACAATTATTATAGGTATATATATATATATAGATTGAGGTAGAAAAAAACGGCTCGAGTCTCTTTAGCGACTTTTAACAGGACTCGATGAATAGCTGATAATAGCGTCCATTGTGCCTCGAGTGTCGAGGGATGGGTCACCTTAACAAATGGTTCATTGTTGTCCCTCGTCGGCCTTCCTTTCCTCTTACTCTCTCGCTTTCTTTTTAATGCTCTCTTTCTACTTATATGTCTTCTCCTTGATTCAGTTCCTTATTATTTTTCATTTATAACATATGTACATGCATATACTTTTTCGAAACTCATATAGTGAAAAAAAAAATGCAAAAATTTTATTCCTTTCTTTTGAAAATTCAAAAAAATTTAATTTTTTACTTTCACTGTACTTAATTGTATACTTTTATTGTAATAGAGAAAGAATAATAATTTTTCACTAAAAAAAAATTTTAATAGATAATAAAACACTTTTAGCCAGTTTATTACTATTGGTCTTATTTTCAAATTTTACCGCGTTCAAATTTTGCGCATAAATGTATGCGCGTCGCGTATTAAAGTTGAAGCAATCGTTCCTAGGTGGCGTGCTCTTCTTTTCTCACAAGCGATAGTAATAAAAGTCATAAAAATATATTATTTGAACAAAAAATTGAAATTTTTTTCAATTTATTAACTTGTAGATTATTTTATAGTAATGAAAAAGATTATATTCAGAATCAAAAAAATAATAATAATAATAATAATAAAATACGAAATGATAAATTTTCTTTTTTTGTAAGTCCGTTTAGATTTAAATAAATAAATAATAAATAATAATAGTAATAATAAAATAAAAAAATTAATAATAATAAAATGCAAAAAGGCAAATTTTCTTTTTTTAAGCCCGTTTACATGTAAATAAATAAAATACTAATAATAGTAAGTTTTATTATTATTAGTATTTTATTTATTTACATGTAAACGGGCTTAAAAAAAGAAAATTTGCCTTTTTGCAATTTTATTAATATTGATATTTTTATTTTATTATTACTATTGTTATTATTTTATTTATTTAAATATTTTTTTTTTTAAATTTCAATTTTTGTTTAATGGATTTTTGAAAATTTTTCAAAAAATATAATTTCTATATATTAAATTTTTTTTTCTTGATATGTATAGTCGTCTCTGAGAAAATACAGTCTCATATATACGCAATATAATGTACAATTGATCTGGACATATATGTATGTATATATATATATATATACATATTCGAACGGGGAAGCAACTGCGCGAGAGGGCCTTCTGAGAGGGCAACCGGTGCCGGTTATTCCTGATCAAATGTTTTTGCTTGCCCGTTGCAAAGCTAATTGGATGCCGCTATATAAACGTGCGAGTCGCGCTGAGAATTGTTATATACAATCTCGTGCGAACGTTACGCAAAACTCCCTTTATCTCAAATCACCCAATACTGCGATAGAATTTTTTTTTTTTCATTAATAATAATTTTTTTTTTTTTTTTTTTTTTTTTTTTTTTTTTTTTAACTTTTATATTTTTATTTCTACTGTTCTGCTTATTTAAATTCAATTATTTATTATTATTTATCATTATTAATATTTATTATTATTATTATTATTGTTATTATTATTATTGTTATTATTATTATTGTTATTATTATTATTGTTATTATTATTATTATTAATTAATATTTATTATTTTTACACGCAAAAAAAATATTCACCTAAATCAACGATATTTTTCACTAAAATAGAGAAAATTTTTGCTATTATAGAAAAATATATAGCTGTTTTAGATATATACTTATCGCTGTTCCAGGTGAAGAATTTTTTTTTGCGTGTAATATTTATTAATATTTATTACTTTTAGTATTCATTAATACACTGGAAAAAAAAATGTATTTGATTCAATTATAATCGTTTATTTGACAATTAGGTATATATCAAATAAATATATTTATTTGTATTAAAATAATTATTATTTGAGACAATAAAATGGTATACTTATTTCAAATACAAAATTATTATTGGTTTAAAAATACTGTTTGTTTAATTCAAATAAAAATTATTTAATTCAAGTAAATATATTTATTTGATAATAAAGTAATCGATTATTTGAATCAAATACATTTTTTTTTCAGTAGATTTATTATTTTTAATATTTATTAACAATTTAATTAGTTTATTATTATTTAATTGAATTTTTTTTAAAAATAAATTATTATTATTTCATTAATATTTTGTTATTATTTTATTTATTTATTTATAAATATAGAATATAAATTAAAATTAATAAAAAAAAAGAATCTTATTATAATTACATTTTATTTATTAAAAATTAAAATGTAAATATTAAAATAATTTTTTTTTAAAATTAATTTAGAAAATTTTAATGTTAAAAAATTAATATGAATATGTAAAATAATGCAGTAACAAGTAAAAATAAATGTACCAAAATATTATTTTTTTTTGTTCAAAATTAAAGTAAAAAAAAATAATTTTTTTCTATTAATAGTAATTGTAATAAAAATTTAGAGGAGAGAAATTTAGGGGGGATGAGAGGGTCAGGGATTCATTTCTGGAATCCATCTGTCCATTGTGGATTTATTTTTCTTTTTTTTTTTTTTTTTTTTAATCCAAGAGCGCGACAATCGTGAGATCAGAGAGATATGCTTTGCAGACCATGTAGTGGAAGAAAAAAAACAACTTGTCCTGCATAATTACATTATCGTCGCTTGACTTCTGTCTTCCAATTGGAAACTAGTCTGACGACGATGGGCAATAAATAATTAGTATATCATTTTTTATGAAAAAAAAATAATTTTTTTCTAATTTTATTCATTCTTTATTATCAAAAATTCGTTTTTTAAAAAATAAAAATCTTCTTTATCAACATTACTATTTTACCGGCAATTGTTTCCGCTTTTATCAATGGTCGATAACAAAAAAATAGTAGAAATTCCCGTTTTTATCAACAGTTCGATAAAAGCGGAAATTCCTATCGGTAAAATAGTTTCTTATTAGAGTAGAACAATTTTTTCTTCCTTATCGACAAAATTATTTGTACCGACGACAAATGTTATCGACAGATAATATTTTTAAAATATTTAAAAATTAAATGTGTTTTTACCAAAAAGATTCTTTTTTTAATAACTTTTTTAATAACTTTTAATTTAAGTTTATTTTGAATGACTATTGAAAAAATTCACAGGGAATAGGTATTTTGTTGAATAAAATTAAAAACATAATTTCATAAATTATACGCAATTACGTATTTGTATATTTTTTTCCATTTTTTTTTTTTTTTTTTTTTTTTTTTTTTTTATTGACGTGGTTGGATGGTACACGGGCGTATTTTGGAATGCGCGACGTATAAAAAAAAAATTTCGTCGACAGAGACGACATTATAGTATATAACTTAAAAATACAAGGAAAAAAAAAATATTGTATTTATACTATATATAAATTTTTGTTTGTTTGTTTGTTTGTTTTTTTTTTAACTTAAAAATTAATACAATTGCAAAGTATACTCTCTCTTTCTATATATATATATTATAAAGTACAAATAAAAACGCAGTGAGATTCTTTTATTTTTTTTTTTTAATATAATAATAGACGTTAATCGACATGCAGCTTTTTTTTCGTTTTATCAAAATACTTTTGCATAGGACGGAAGAAAAATGAAAAAAATACAAAAGGAAAAAAAATACTGAAAAAATAAAAATAGAAAAAATAGAATATAAGCAAAAAATATTATATAATAGAAATTAAATATTATAGTAAATAGTTATAATAAAAAGAAGAAAAAAAAAACTATTCTGAAAATCCCTTGTAAATTCAAAAATTAACCCATTTCCGAAAGAAAGAAAATTTAAATCCCCAAAACCTAAATCAGTCAACATAAATTAATTTTTCAATTTTTAAATAAATATAGAAATTAAAAATGAGTTTAAAATTACAATTAAATTACTGTAATTTTTTTTTGTTGTTAAAATTAAATTAAATTAGAAATTTAGTTATTCGATTATAATAATACATTATTTATATTTCCTTTTCGAAATATAAAATATATTTTATTATAAAATGAAATTTTTTTTTATAATTATAATAAAAAGGCAATTTAATGTAATATTATAATTCAAATAAATATCATCACTTAAATATAATTAATTTAAAGTGAAATTCAAAAAAATATTAATTAAAAAAAATATATATATATGACTATTACTTAATTATAAATTATAGTTATCTAAATACTTAAATTTCCCCCCCACAAAAAAAACCTATAACACAATCATACCATTTTTTTTTACACATTATTTCCTTTTTTTAAAAAATAAAAATACAAAAGCTGCTTCTCGTTAACGTCTTTTTTGTTTTTTTTTTCAAAAAAAAAATGTACTTTCAGTTACTATTTTTATGATCCCTTTTTAATGGGATACTCTATTAGCTGCAATCTACTTTGTAGAAAAAATTTGATCGTCTTCAGATTGAAAAAAAATTTCAGGAGCTGCAATAAAAAAAAAATATATAGAGCAAAAAAAAAAATATTAAAGCACAGCTCCATTAATTTTTTTTCCCTCAACAAGACGAGTCGACGATTTCTTAAAAACTAATTTTTTTTAAAAAAGAAAAAAAAAGATATTTTACAAATGAAAATGCACGCAGTGCAAAAAAAAAAAAATTTTTTTCATCCAGAATTAAAAATAAAATAAATCGCAAATTCCTACAGAAATTAGAAAAAAGAATGTACGCATAGTAATTACATTTTTCTCCAATAAAAAAGAGAATTCTCAAAAAAAAGCATCAATTCTCTTTGTCTATTATTCAAAAACAAAAGTTTATAAAAAAAAAACGAAGGAAAAATTAAAGAACAAAAAAATCGGAAAAAAAAATTGTCGGGGAAAGTGCGCAAAAAAAAAAAGAATCACTCGTACAAAAATACTGGAAGTTTACGCGAGGAAAAGAGTTTTGTTTTTTTTTTTAGGCATTGGATACCAACTTCCGCTCTCGTAGAGGTACAATTTTTTTTTCCTTTTTATCACGGAAACTCGCTCGACAATTATTATTATTATTAATATTTATATAAGTAAAAAAAAAAATTTTTTTTTTTTTTGTATTTTTTGAGATTCATTTTAATATCTATTCGTTGATAGGAAAATGTGTTCGATTTGTCGAACGAGTTTCGTCCTCGATCTGCTGCGAAAATTCAATATTTATACTAATAATAATCATTTCTTAATTAATTAAAATATTAATTAATTTTCGTAACTCCTACAATGAACAATAATTATTACAAATATCAATAGTAATAGCAATAGCAATAATAATAATAATAATAGTAATAATAATAATAATAAAAGTATTATTATTATTAATAATAGCGTAAAATTTCCAAATTGGAAAATAATATCCAAACGCGGAAATATTTCTCAAAAATATTGTTTCACTACTTTTGATTGTTTACGAAAATTTTTCAATAGGGGAAAAAAATAATTTTTTTGTTTTCTAATTTAATAATTTTTTTTTTTTTTATCAAAAAAATTAAATTTTTTACAAATTTAAAATTAATAATTTTATTTTGAAAAAATTTTCACCAAAAAAAAAATTTTAAAACTATAGTTTATATTTATAATAAATAATAAATAATAAATTTTTGAGAAATATTAATACAAATTTTAATAATTAAATATTAATTTATTAAATTAAAAATAATAATTTTGTGCTTTAATATTAATAATAAATTTTAAAAAGAAAAATTTTCGCTAAATACAAAAAAACAAAAATTGAGAAATATTTACGCGTCTCGAAAAAATATTTTTTTAAATTTTATTTTCAAGGCAAATCGAGAGCCGTAGCCCAATCGCAAATCAAGTAACACCCTTAAAATTAAATAGTTGCCTAATGATTCGTGATTTTTAGTTTTTTTTTTTACTTTTTTTTCTTTTTTTTTTCTTAATATATATAATATATAATATATATCTTTATATATATATTCAATGCTCAATATATTAAATAATTATATATATATCATAATTACATCGCGTCGGTTGCGTCGAGACGTTTTTCTTCATTAAAAATTGAAAAGAGGAGAGAAAATCGTCTCGCGCACCGATGAAAAAACACTACATCGATCGTGCGATAATGTAAAAGAAAAAATAAAAAATTCAAAAAAAAAAAAAAAAATATATATTTTTCAAAAAAAAGAAAACCCGAAAAGAAGACAAAAGATTTAAAAAAAAAAAAAATTATTTTCCCAAAAGCGCATTTCACGTACAAAAAGCAACGATTAGAGGCCTTGTGTTCTCACTTTTTTTTTTTTTCCTTTTCTTTCATTAACTACTAATAGTGCATTTACAATAATCTTTTTCTCAATATCATATCAATAGATAATATTATCTCTTTATCTCGCGTCTCTAGTCTCTCGCTAAATTTAAATATTATTATTATTATTATTATAATAGATTAAAAAGTTGAATTATTTTGTCACATTTTGTGCTTTTTTTTTATTATTTGTTCCTTAAAAGTTTTTTCAGTCATCAAGGGGGCCAGACGGCGTCGCTACTCTTTTTTTTTCAAACTCAACTTTTGAAGCTATCAAAAAAAAATTTATATTTTTTGGAATTTTTTTTGAGTGCTTCGAAAGAGGGTTTTTTTTTTTTTTTTTTTTTTTTTTGCATACATATTTAAAACGACACAAACATAACGAGGTTACCCTGTAAAGAAGCAGGCGCGATCGCTGTCTGGCCGGGGAAAAAAGTGTGTGAGAAAAAGAGAGCGAGAGAAGAAAAAAAAATACGCTTTTTTTTTTTCTTTTTTTTTTACGAAAATCGATTTTTTTCTCGAAATTTGTTGTGGGGTGGGGTGAAAAAAAGACGCGCTCGAATTTTTGATATTTGGATTTTTCAATTTGCTTCCTTTTTTTTCACTACTTTTTTGATCTTCGCTCGAGTTTCTTCGACTTTTTTTAAAAAAAATATTTCTTTTTTTTTTTTAATTTTTTGCAGAATTGTTTTTTTTTTCGAACTTTTTTGAAATTTCTTTTTTTCTAAATTTAATATTTTTTAGATATTTAGAAAAATCGGTAAATTTTAATCCTTCATTTTTAAATTGTTTTCTAAAAAAAAAAATTCTGGTTAAAATCCCTTAAATTCGTTTCATTTAAAAAATTTTTAAATCTATTTTCCAAAATGCAAAAATTTTACCCAAAAAAAGAATTTTTTTCTGTAATTAATTAATTAATTAATTTAAAAAATAATGGTCAAAATCCCTTTTAAAAAAAATATTAGTTCGATTTTTTGAAATCTATTTTCATTGCAAAAAAATTTTAACCGAAAAAAATTTTTTTTCTGTAATTAATTCCGTAGTTTCTGTCTAAATAAATATTTTTCTATTTTTAGTTTTTCGATATTTTACGCGATTTTTATTATAAATGAAATTCAAAATTTAATTTCACTATTAAAACACATTCTCAACGTATTATTTTGCAATAAAAAAATTAAAAAAAAAAACAAAAAATATACCATCATTCAATAATTTAAAGATTTTTTGAAATCTTATTTTAAATTTCTTTTTTTTCATTTCCTTGGAAAATTGTCTCTAATCTTTAAGATTCTTGAGATTTAAAAAAACCGGGTTTTTTTTTCTAAAATTTTCATTTTTAAAGATTTTTAAAATCTTGTGTTTTAAATTATAATTTCTTCTATATATATTTATATTGTTATATATTTTTAAAATTCTCAAAAATTATTTCTTTTGTCAAATTTTAACGAATTGTCGAAAAAAAAAAATGTCGAGCGCTTCTTTCTTTTTTTTTTAAATTTTCTTCTTCACGAGACCGTTTTTCTTTTTCATTTCTGGATTAATAGCTAGCGCGCTATATATATATATATGTGTGTATGTGAAACATCTAAAAAGACAATTCGGATTTTTTTAGAAGACTCGAAGAGACATTTTTTTTTTGCGTGATCAAACTATTTCCAATATTTCATTGAAAAAAAATTTTCAAAATATTGAAAAAAAAAATTCCATTAAGGAAAAATTAATTTTCCGAAATTTTATTCTAGAAAATTTTGTTGTTAAAAAATTTCATCCGATTAGATTTTTGAAAGCATTTTTGAAAAATTGAAAATTTTTTTCCACTCACCTCGAGTCAACTAAAAAAAAAGCCAAAAAGTGAATTCTAATTGGCAGTATAAGAGTGGACGTTGCGCCCAGCGCAAAACGCTTACATTTTTGTTGTTGTTTTTTCTTAGTAGCTGCAGGCGAATTGTGCTGAATTCTTAATTATAAATATATATATATAAATAACGAAATCTCAATTTAAAAAAATTGGGAGAGAGAATTCGAAATTTTCTGGCAGAGATGAAGGTTAAACGTAAGTTGCTATTGTCCCAGTTGGAATTGATGGCGTTTCTTCTGGTCTGCCTTTTGGACCGTATTGTCCAATAAAAGAACCATCTTCGGTAAAGCGACCTAGAAAAATAAATTAAAATACAAAATAAATTACAAAAAAAAAAAAAAAATATTAATTAAGAAAATATTATTAAAAAAAAAATATTAATTAAGAAAATATTATTAAAAAAAATATTAATTAACTATTAAATATTAATTAAAAAAATATTAGTTACAAAAGTATACTAATTTTAAAAAAAATTCATTAAAATAATAAATTATTAAAACAAAAATATTATATTTTTACAAAAATTGGGATTTTTTGTTTCGCAAAAATAATAGGGAAAAATTTGCATTAAAAATAAAAAAGCCCAAGTGTAATAATAATGATAATTATAAATTGTCGTTGAGGTGCAAAAATTGCTTTTTCTAGAGGGTAAAGTAATAAAAAAAAAAACAGTCAATTTTCTCCCTACCTTACACTAAAGTTGCGAATGCTTGCGAATTCGGTCCTGGTTTCCTTTGACGACCATATTGACCAATAAATGATCCATCCTCGTTCATACCTTCTGTTTTATTGACAAAACAAATAAAAGCAAACGAAAAAGTAATTTCAAGTGCACTAAACAATAAATATGCGCTAAGAACAACAACAATAAAAAAAAATAAATAATAATAGTTTAACAAAAAAAAAAATTAAAATTTAACAATATAAATTCATTGAAATTATTTAGTAATTCAATAAATGAGAATTGCGTATTAAAATGCTTTACAAGTGCATTTAGAAAAAATATATTTAAAAAAAAAATATTGAGAAAATTTTTATTTTGAATAGAAAAAATATTTTTCAAATTATAACAAATATATTTTGAAAATTATAGAAATTTTTTTTTTTTTTTTTAATATTGTAGAAAAAATAGTTTTGAAACTATAGAAAAAATATTTTTTAAAAATTATTATAACAAATACAAGATATTAATATAATATATTATAATAATATTATAATAATATTGATTAATAATAAATTATTATAAATTATAATAATAAAATTAATTATTAATAATATTAATAATAATAATAATAATAATATAATATATTTTGAAAATTATATAAAAATTATTTTTAAAAATACAAAATATACGTGAAAAAAAAATTAAAAATTGTATTATAAACAGCAAAAAATTACTTACAATCGATAAATCACAAAGCTTATAAAAATAATTTAATAATAAAAAAAATCTACAAAATTCATAACAGCAAAAACTGTTTTCATTTTAAACAAAAAAAGTAAACAAGAAAAAACTTTCTATATTCTAAAAATTAAAAGAAACTAAATTATAAAAATGATAAATTACAAATATTTTTAAATATTAATAGCATGTAATTTATTTTTAAATATTAATAGCAAATAATTTATTTCTAAATATTAAAAGCAAGTAAATTTCTAAAAAATTAAAAATAAGACAAAAGCCACCAAAAAAAGTAGGAAAAAAAAATTTTTATACTCTAAACATAATTTTATTCGAGAATTTTTAAAAGTGCTTAAAGCAAATTGATGATGAGGAAAAAAAAAGAAAACAAAATTCGTTACTCTATTTAAAGAAATCTGAGGGAAGAGAAAAAGAAACAAAAAAAGAACACTAACCTGTATCGCCTTCTCCGTATTCGGCCATTGAATCAGTATCAGATTCGGGATGTTTGCCATCTTGTTGAGCTGATGAGGCGAGGGAAGCTCTTCCGCGTTCGGATTTATTATCCAGCGGTTGGGAATATTCATGGAAGCCACCCTCTTCGGGATAATCACCGCGACCAGCGGCTAATTCTCTCTCGTGAACCGCATATTTGCCACCACGATTTCTTTTAATTACACAAACAATTATCAACACGAACAGTAGGAATGCAATTGCAAGCATCATACCTGTGAGTGGAGGGGGGAAAAAAAATATAATAGTAAATATTAAATAAAAACTATTGTAACATTGTAAAATTGATAACAAATATTAATTTGATTTTGTCACATTAATTATTTATTTTTATCAATATTTTTAATTTCCTTTAAAATTTTCTAAATTTGTCGTTTATTCTGGTCTGATTTACTTCAATGATTTCACAAAAATTCGAGATAAAGACACAACTTTTTTTTTTAATAATAAATACTATGTAAATCACTTTTTTTTCAAATTTTATATAATTTCGTTTGAGTCGAAGAAATATGAAGATTTAAGAAAATTATTCTACTTATTATTAACCGTACTAATTTGATTGTTAAACTCTATGATTGTATACGGTGCGCCAGAAGGAGGTTTAAATAAAAATGAATTGGCACTTAAAAATTCTTTTTGATTATATGGTTCTAAGATGAATAAAAACTTTTCTCAATAGGTATTAAAATTACATGCCCAATTTAAAACAAATTGAGTTTTAAATATTTAAAAATAGTATATTTTATGAGGAACCAGAATTTATTTAATGTAATATAGATAATAGATGTTTTAGATTTGGGTTCATATAAATTTATTAACAATTAAGTTATTTTCTTGTTTCGTTTTTATATTTATGCATTAAGAGTGTCGAACGGTATCTGAAATTCTTTGGCAAAAAGAGAGAGCTTTAATTATCGCTCTGAACGTGAAATAGTATTGATTTTAAAATACTTTTTTTCTCGAAACACACGAACACTTTTAACAAAATCAGCCAAAATCCTCATTTTATAAATTTCCTAAATCCAAAAGACTGTACGAATCCATAGAAAAATATGGTTGCAAAACAAAAAGTAGAAAAGTAATCTAATAACAGCTGCGAGTTTGTGCGCCCTGCATGCTGCTGCCATCTGACGGCGGCAGGAGGTAATGAACCCCTCATTATATTACTTTTCGTTTTGCAATCGTGTTTTTGTATATGGATTCGTATAATCTTTAGGATTTAAGAAATTTATATAAGATAAGGATCTCTAGCTGCTTTTTGTAAAAAAGTGTTCGTCTTTCAAGAAGAAAGTATTTTAAAATCAATGTTTATTATTTTCACGTTTAGTGCCGTTTTTATAGAACGATAAAATTAAAGGTCTCTTCTTGCCAAAAAATTTCAGAGATCATTCGATCTCTCTTAAATAAATTTTCTCACTCTTAAAATCGTTCTTTTAACATTTATAATTAAATTTTTTAAAATTGGACACAAACACTACAGCAATATAATTATTTATATGCAAAAATTGAAAATAAGTAATTATTTTATCATTTATTACAGTATTTATTAGATTAAATAAATTCTGATCCCCCATAATATTTGTATATATGTCAAAAAATTATATTGAAGGAGCGTTATGACAATTTAACAACTGGCATCAAACCAAATTAAAAAAAATTTATTTAATTTAAAGAAAGAGTTTCCAATATTTTCTTTTCCTTTCAATTCATTTAATTTCATCATCATTCAAGAGAAGAAGATTTTTATTATTAACCAACAATAATTACGAATTTATGTCGGGATTCAAATTGTTAACATTCATTTTTCATTTTTTTTTTTTTTTGGTTGGCAACAAATTTTCCTTAGAGATTAATAAACAAAATCATTTTTTCATTCTAGAAAGTAAAATCATTGATGAAAGACATGATAATTTTTAAATATCTGAAATTATCATTAATTAAAGTCAAATTTTGTGAATATTTGAATAATTAATTCGAAAATGACTTGAAGCCAATTTCAGGCCTCGGATCGACTTTAAGGCACAAAAAAAGTCGTTTTAGTCGATTTATATTCCAAAAAAAAGTCGAAAAAGTCGATTTTTTTTATTTTAACAAAATTGAATTGGTTAATGAATATTTTACTTTAAATAACTAATGTTAATTAAATTCATTTTATTAATTCTGTAATGAGAATAATTCTTTAAAAATATTATCAAGAAAATTTATTTCCAATATTTCACAATTGAACTAATTGTAAGACAAATTTTCAAAATTTTATTTAAGTAGAACAAATTTCCAAAAAAATTCTTGAAGTAAAATTTTTATAATTTGTTGAAGTCTGATTTATGCAATTTATTCGAATTACAAATTTTGTCATAGTTTTTTAGTTTTGATGATCAAAATAATTTCAGGCAAAAACTTAATCAAGTTTTACAGATTTTTTATTAAAATTTTTTTTTTTTTAAATAATAATAATTTTGAAAGAGTTAAAGTTGAAATTTTTAGAAATGATTCAATTTCAAAAGATTTTGTTAATTTTCAGACAATAATTAAATTTTATAAAACTAAAAATAATTTATCAAACAATTTTATAGATAACATTTTCAAAAAGTAATTGAATTTTCAAAGATTTACAATTTAGATTTTTGAAATTAATTGAATTTCGAGTGATTTTTAATTAAAAATTTTTCATGATTTTTGTTAATAAAAAATTTATTAGAAATTGCAGACAAAAATACAATAATTTGAAAACTTTTTAAGTGAAAAATGGTTTCAGATAGTTGAATTTTCGAAGAATATTATAAAAATCATTAGAAATAATTTGATTTCACGAGAGTTATAATTGAAATTATTAAATTTCAAAAAATTTTAGATGGAAATTTTTAGAAATAATTAAATTTTAGAAGCTTTTAAATTGAAATTTTTGAAAATAATTAAATTTCAATTGATTTTGAATTAAAATTTTCGAAAATAATTGAATTTTAGTTGATTTTGAATTGAAATTTTTTAAAAGTAAATGAATTTTAGTTGATTTTAATTGAAAATTTTGAAAATAATTTAATTTCAATCGAAATATTGGAAAATAATTGAATTTTAATAGATTTTGAATTGAAATGTTGGAAAATAATTGAATTTTAGTTGATTTTGAATTTAAAATTTTGAATTTCTATTGAAATTTTTAAAAATGACTGATGAATTTATTAGAAATTACACACAAAAATTGAACTTTCAAATTTTTTGAATTGCAAAATGCTTTTAGATAATTGAATTTTCGAAGAATATTTAAAAAAATTTTTTTAAATAATTAAAATTTTTGCAAATAATTTAATTTCAAGTGATTTTGAATTGAAAATTTTTTGTTATTTTATTTGCTAATTTTTTTTTTAAATTATAAACAATTATTAAATTTCATAAAAATTTTAATTCAAAAATAGTTATTGAATTTGTGAAGAATTTCATTAAAATTATTAAAAATAATTAATTTAGTGAAGAATTTTAGTTAAAAATTTGTTAAATAATTGAAATAAAGAAGATTTAAAGAAGATTTGCATTGTATCCTAAAAAAACGTATTTTATTTTAAAATTTTGTAAAAAAGTCGAAAAATTCGCATTTTATTAAAATTATTCGAAAAAAGTCGTATTTTTGAAAAAAAAAGTCGGTAAAAGTCGAAAAAGTTGTGTAATCCGAGGCGTGCAATTTGAAAATTATTTTTAAAAAAATCTTTGAAGATAATTTGAAAACAAATATTAAAAAAAAAAATAAGGAAAATTCGTTCCAATCAACATTCATAGGATTTATTCTGGTAAATTTGGTTAATTTCACTAAAAAATAATCTTTCTTAATTTTCTTCTATTTTGGACTATATTTAAAATGAAAATTTAAAATGTTTTAATTTAAAATTATAATTCAACCCTATTTTTTTTTGTGTGTGTGTGTCTTATCTCGAATGTAGAATCCTTATTCTTTATAGAAAAAGTTTTATTTAATTTAGTTGCATCAAATTGTTAACCTCAAAATTCAAATTATTTTTTTATATAAATTAAATATTGATTGTTTATTTTCTTTAATAAATTAAAAGAAACGAATCACATTCTATTTTCAATTTATGATTATTTTAGTCTATTTTATTTTTTTTTTTTTTATTCGTGTCCAATAACAAGACTGGCGCCCAAATTTTATCTTCCGAAGGTAACTTAAAAAAAATGAAGGTTACACTATTGTATAATAATATTAATAATCGAGATTCCGTTAGCAAATTTATTTATTTTTTATTTTCATTGATTGAAATTCTACTAGTGATTCTTTAAATATTCAATTTCTTATAAAATTTTTATTATTAATAAATTATTTTCAATTTAAATTATTTATATAATTTTTATTTATTAAATAAAAAGATAAAAAAAAAATCACTTACCAATGAACCATCCAGCAGTCGCTACATTTTCCTTAGCTTGTATCATTGGTCCCTCATTTGTCGTCTCAATATCTTGAGGATCACTTTCCGTTATATATTTTCCATCTACAGCTACAATTGATATTGTATACGTTTCACCACTTAAAAGTCCAACAACCTATTTAATTACAAAAATTATTATTTTACGATAAAAGATTCAAAAAAAAAAAAATAAATAAATAAAATAGAAAAATATTTTTTCCCCTCACATATGTTTCATGGGAGTAATATTCAGGATCCGTTTGCAATGAAATTGTTTCGCCTCGTAATTTATATTTGGCAAAAAAATGACTTCCAGGATGTCCATTATAATTCAATTGCCAAATTAATTTAACTGTTGAATATCCATTCTCCTGGGGAATTGTTTGCCATGTGAAATAAGGAACGTCTGGCTTTTGAGATCTTTGCGTTGTTTGTTCAATGAAATAGCTGGAAAAATTAATTTTTTTTAATTATTGTAAAATATATTTTTATTATAAAATAAAGAAAAAATTACTTGTTTCCTTCTCCTGCGTTGGTTGTTGCACGAATATGAATTCTGTATTTAGTTTCTGGTCTCAATGTCGCGAGTTTTGCACTCACTGCCAATGGATCATTGACTTTTGGCCTTCTCTCTAATTCGGGCTCAAGTCTCGTTCCATTCACAATTTGATAATAAATTCGATAGCCAGTTAAAATTCCATTTGGTTCAGCGGGTTTTGTCCATTTTAAAAAGAATGCACTCGATCCCATTGGGAATGCCTCGAGACTTAAAACAGTTCCCGGAACACCCTCCGGTGTATTAAATGTCAATGTCTCCGAAGGTGGACCATTGAATCTACAAAAAAAAAAAGAAAATGACCCAAATTTTAAAAAAATTTGTAGAAAAAATAGAAATAATTCCAATAACGAAAAAAAGTAGAAAAAACAGAAATAATTCCAATATAATAATAACAATAAATAATTCCTTTGAGAAAGCAAAAGTAATTTTTCATATTACTCACATTCCATTGTAGACTAAAATTCGAACGAAATTTTTACTATAGGGCACAAATTTAGTGACAAGTGTTCGAGTTGTATTTGCCCCGCGAACATTAATTTCCCTCATTTTATCCTCGCCGTCTTTATCGGTCCATGTTTGAATTTTATATCCAATTAATTCACCGCGTACACTTTCTGGTGGTACTGGACTCCAGGAAAGAATTGCCTGCGTACTTGAATTCACTTGTTCCAATAAGAAATTTCCCGGCGCTTGTGTTGGAACTACAAAATACAATCGTAATTATAATTTTTTTTTTTTTCAACAATTTTTGAGAAAAAAAAATTCAAGGTTCAAAATAATTTTTTTCGAAGTTTCTTTTTTTTTGAAAGAAAAATAGAGAGTTTTAGAAATTCACAAAATAAAAAGAAAAAATTGAGAATTGTTTTTTTTTTTTTTTTTTTTTTTTTTTTTTAATTTTGAAAAGCGTAAATACTCACCGTCTTCTCCGGAATATCCAATAACTTCTTTAGGTTGTACTCGGCATTCACCTTTTTCATTAATAGCACCAACTTTCATTCGATAACGTTGATAAGTTTGTTGTTGATCGACCTGTAGTCGATTTATTTTCCAATCGTTGATATTTTCAATAATCCATTTCTCACCCGGAATATCACGTCGATAATGAACTTGATACATAAATCGTGGTGCATTATGCTCTATTTGCGGCATTACTGTCCAAGTAATAACAAGATTTGTCGGTGATGTTCCCTTACCAACAACATTGTCCGGATTCTTATCAGGTATATCGGGTTGTGTTGTACAAATTTCCGTGCTATGATGCGATGGATCCGATTTACCTGGAGAGAAGATAATTATTTTTAATTTTTCAATGAATTTAATTGAGAATCGAATCTAGGAAAACAATTATTTTCGAATTTTGATAAAAAAAAAAAACAAATTTTGTAAAATTGAAAATCGAATTTAGGAAAATAATTATTTTCAAATTTTTGAATATTTGATTAAAAAAAAAAAAAAAAACAAACAAATAAATTTTGAAATATTGAGAATCGAAACGAAAAAAATAATTATTTTCATTTTTTGAATGTTTAATAAAAAATAAAATTGGAAAATATTCTACAATTCAATATACAGACCAGGTAACATTTAATTTAAATAATATTTAATATGATATTTAGTAATTAATTTAAATAGGTATTTTATTTATTTAATTATTAATTATTAAAATATTAATTTTAATATCCCCATAAAAATCGATGATTCGAATTTTCATTTTAAAGAACTTTATTTTTTTTTTAAGACTAATTTTCATTTCTTCAAATTGGAATTTGAAAGAAATTCTTTTTAAAAAACAAATTTTTACTCAACAAAATTATTTAAGGAATACAATTTTTATTTCACAGAATTTCTCTTTACCGCATTTTTTTTTTTTTCTTTTTAAATTGTAATTTAATTAATTCAACAGAATTTTAAGTGATTTAAATTTTAAAAATGACAGAATTAAAAAAAAAAAAAAAAATTCGGGCCAAAATCTTTGCGTTGACTATTTATTCAGACATTTGCAATTTCGGACAAAAAGGAAATTTAGCGTTTTAAAAATTCTTTTAATTAACAATTCGTACAAACGAAAAAAAATTCGGTAAATTGGAAAATTTAAAAATTCGAATCACTTAAAATTCTGTTGAATTAGAATTCTGCTAAATTAATAATCTAATTAAAATTTTTTTGTAATATAAACAGTTTCAAATATTTCAGAATCGAACAAAGAGAAAATTGCAAAATTTTAATTAATAGATTTTTAAAAAAAAAATTCTTATTAAGTTGCATTTAAAATTTTTTTTTAAATTTCGATTTAATTTATTCTAATTAAAAATTTTTGCATTATTTTCAGTAGATATTAATCAAATTTTGGACAATAATATTAAGTTTTACAGATTTAATTATTTTTTTCTGAAATAGATAATTGAATTGCAAAAGATTTTAAATATGAAATAAATTTTCTGCAAAATTTAAATTGTTGTAGATTTTTTTTTCTTTTTATTTCTGTCAACAATTCAATTTTATGAGTTTTTATTTGAAACATTTAAAAATACAATTTAATTATTTGGAAAAAAAATGTCCATCTAATTTATTGAAAAATATTTTTAAAAAATATTTTAGAGAAATTTTAATTATGTAAAATTTAATTATTGCCTGAAATTTAACAAAATCTTTTTAAAATACAATTATTTTTTTTTTAAATTCAATTATTTAAAAAAAATTTTGTTAAATTTCATGCAATAATTAAATTTTACATAATTGAAATTTTTGTAAAATATTTTAAAAAATATTTTTCAATAAATTAGATGGAAATTTTTTTTTTCAAAATATATATAAATTTAAAGTGTTTTAAATTGAAATTTTTGAAAATAATTTAATTTCAAGTGTTTTTGAATGGAATTTTTTTTTTGGTAATTTTATTTGATGATTTTTTTTTCAATTTTAAACAATTATTGAATTTTTATCGAAATTTTTTAAATTAAAAAACAGTTTAGGATAATTTGAATTTTGTGGAGAATTTCATTAAAATTATTAAAAATAAAATTAATTTAGAGAAGAATTTTAGTTAAATATTTGTTAAATAATTGAAATAAATAAGATCTGTATTGTAAACTAAAAAAAAAAAAAAGAATTTTGTTTAAAAATATTCGTAAAAAAAGTAAAAAAAATTGAAAGTCACATGCTATCAAAATATGTCGAAAAAAGTCGGAAAAAGTTGTATAATGATTTATACTGTGATTATGCCTGTGATTTTTTCGGTTCAAAATCGTCTTAAAAAATAATTAAATTTAATAAAAAAATTCTTGAAAATGAAAATTTTAATTAATGATTTTTATGGGTCTAAAAATCGTCTAAAAAATAACTATATTTAATTAATTAATTATAAATAATAAATTAATAAATTAAAATAATTAAGAATTAATTAAATATTTATTTAATTAAATTTTTTGAAAATGAAATTTTCAACTAATAATTTTTAACGAAAATTCCCAATTAAAGTATACAAATAAATTAGAAACACAAAGAACTCACTTAAAAATATCAAAAAAAAAAAAAAAAAAAAAAAAAAAAAAATTAGTAATAAAATGAAAATAAACTTACCAATTTTATTCCAAGCAATAACGCGGAATGTATAATTAGCCCATGGACTCATTGGAACGCTAATAGTACGATCGGCAGCCGGAATAAAATCCCTCGAATTTTTCCAAACATCAGGTGTAAATGTTGTATTATATTGAACAATATAACCCAATATAGGCGCACGATTATCACCCAATGGTTTCCATGAGATTTCAGCGTCACGCGGATGACAACGTACATATTCCAATTTTGGTGGATTAGGCGCATCTTGAACAATTAATGTTGCTTTCGCATGTACCTCATCATATTCAGTTCTTGCCACACATGTATATTCACCCGTATCCAATTCAGATGTTTTCAATATTGATAATGATAAATCTGAACTCTGTACAAAACGTGGTTCACTTTCAAAATCTAATGGTTGTCCATTTCTCAGCCAATCAATTTGTAATGTTAAACTTGAATCAGTTACCGCATTACAACGAAATGTTGCCGTTGCACCGGCATAAACTTCATAATCAATTGGTACATCAGTTATTTTTGTATGCTCTTTAACTGTTAATATTCCTGATGCTTCAACTTTATCGAATTTATTTTCAGCATGACATGTATATTCACCGGCATCATTAAATGCAACATTTTCAATAACTAAATCGCCAGTTGATTCTATTTTATATTTACCACCAGTTAATTCTTGTCCATTTCGTATCCATTTTACTTCAGGTTTTGGTGCACCAAATACTTGACATGTCATTTTTGTTGTTTTACCATCGACAACAACTTCATCTGTTGGTGGATTACGAATTTCTGGCGCTAATGCAAGTACATTTACATAAACATCCTTGTAAACATAGCCAAGGGAATTTGTTGCATTACAACCATAATTACCCGTGTCTTTTTTAGTTAAACGTTCAATTATTATTTTATTTGGTAACACTCTTCTTCGTGGATTTAATTCAGCTTCTTCAATTGGCTTTCCATTGTAGATCCAATTTATTTGTGGTTTTGGAACGCCACTTGCTTCGCATCTGTTGGACAAAAAAAATTTTTTTTTTTTTAATAAGACAAACGGTGCGCCAAAAGGTGGTTTAAATAAAAATGAATTGGTCACTTAAAAATTTTTTTTGATTATGATTCTTAGATGAATAAAAAAACATTTCTCAATAGTTTTTAAAAAACAGTTTACGTGACCGATTTAAATAAAATTGAGCTTTTTTTTATATAAAAACAGTGTTTTATGGGGAATCAGAATTTATTTAATCTAATAAATACTGTAATAAATGATAAAATAATTACTTATTTTCAATTTTTGCATATAAATAATTATATTGCTGTAGTGTTTGTGTTCAATTTTAAAAAAATAAATTATAATGTTAAAAGAACGATTTTAAGAGTGATAAAATTTATTTAAGAGAGATCGAATGATCTCTGAAATTTTTTGGCAAGAAGAGACCTTTAATTTTATCGTTCTATAAAAACGGCACTAAACGTGAAAATGATAAACATTGATTTTAAAATACTTTCTTCTTGAAAGACGAACACTTTTTTACAAAAGCAACTAGAGATCCTTATCTTATATATAAATTTCCTAAATCCTAAAGATTATACGAATCCATATACAAAAACACGATTGCAAAACGAAAAGTAATATAATGAGGGGTTCATTACCTCCTGCCGCCGTCAGATGGCAGCAGCATGCAGGGCGCACAAACTCGCAGCTGTTATTAGATTACTTTTCTACTTTTTGTTTTGCAACCATATTTTTCTATGGATTCGTACAGTCTTTTGGATTTAGGAAATTTATAAAATGAGGATTTTGGCTGATTTTGTTAAAAGTGTTCGTGTGTTTCGAGAAAAAAAGTATTTTAAAATCAATACTATTTCACGTTCAGAGCGATAATTAAAGCTCTCTCTTCTTGTCAAAGAATTTCAGATACCGTTCGACACTCTTAATGCATAAATATAAAAACGAAACCAGAAAATAACTTTATTGTTAATAAATTTTTAAGAATTTTATTAGATATAATTATTTTTTAGACGAATTTTTATTTTTTTCAATTAACATTTGACAGAATTACTTTTTAAACAAATTTTTACTTAACATTATTTTTATATATCGAAATTTTATTTGGCAGAATTCTTAAAACGACGAATTTTTATTTGTCCGAAATTCCAAATGGCCGAACAAACAATTGACAGAAAGATTTTGGCGCGATTTTTAAAATCAACCAATCAAAAATTATCCATAAAATTGTGATTGGTTGATTTTAAAAATCGCGCCAAAATCGATTGTTTGTTCGGTCATTTGCAATTTCGGACAAATGAAAATTCGGCGTTTTTTAAGAATTTTGCAAAATAAAATTTCGGTGCCTAAGAATTCTGTTAATTAAAAATTCTTTAAAAAAAAAATTCTAACAAATGTTAATTTAAAAAATGAAAATTCGTGTAAAAAATAAATTATAGGTATGTAATGAAATTGTTGAAAATGAAAATTCTCACTAATAATTTTTATAGGATAATCATGAACTCCAAAAAAAGTGATATTTGAAGTAAAAATAGTTTTCTAAATATATGAGATTAAAGTGTAAATATTTTTTTTATCTAAAAACAATTGAAAGAAAAATTCTGAGGAATAAAATTAACATCATTTTTCTATGGATTATTTGAAAAAATCTATTGTTAAATCGTAAACTTGGAATCTAAAGCTTATATTAAAATATTTAGTATTTTAAAACAGATTTAATTAAAAATCTCAAAAAATTTAATTATTAGGTACTTCAAATCTTAACACGAACTCTTCAAAAATTTAATTATTTCTAAAATTTGCATCTAAAATTCTTTACTAAATTAATAATTTCAATCCAATTATTCAAAAATTCAATTAAATATTAAACATTTTTAAAATTAAAAATTCTCTAAAATTCAATTACTGTTTGAAAATTTGTTAATAATTTTTTAGCAATTCTAATTTATTTATTTATTTATTGAAAATATATGGGAAAAACAATTTACTAAAATTTTAATTCAAAATCTCGAAAAATTCAATTATTTCTATTTTTTAGAAATCTTAACTCGAACTCTTTCAAAATTCAATTATTTCCAAAATTTTTATCTAAAATTCTTTGCTAAATTAATAATTTCAATTCAATTATTCAAAAATTCAATTAAATAAAACATTTTTTAATTAAAAATTCTCTAAAATTCAAATAACTGTTTGAAACTTTGTTAATAATTTTCAGCAAAATTGTTATTAAAATTTTTGATTCAAATTTTTTATTGAAATAATTATGCCTAATAATTTATTTAATTAAAATCTTGGCATTTCAATTATTTAAAACATTTTTCAATTTAAAATAATCTAAAATTCAATTATTGTCTGAATTTCGGTTAAATTAGAGTTATTAAAAAAAAAAAAAAAAAAAAAACAATTCAGTAAAGAGAAATTTTGTAAAATAAAAATTCTGTAAAAAAAAAAAGATTTGTCAAATTAAAAATTCTATTGGGTAAAAAAATCGTTTAAAAAGAAATTACGTTAAATGCTATTTTGAAAAATGAAAATTCGTGTAAAAAATAATTATATAAAACAGTAATTCACGTGGCCAATAATAAATCATCAACTTGGCGAATGTTTAGAAATTTTTATTGTCGTTGTCGTTATTATTGTTAAATGAAAATTGGAGCAAATAAAAATTCTAAAAAATGAAAATTTAAAGAAAATAAAAATTCTCTGAGGGGAATTTTCGGTTATATAAAAATTATGTTTAAAAATTTTATTAAACTATATCTTTAATTAAATTAAAAATAATTGATTATATTAAATATATATGTTGTAATTTGTAATTTGTAATTTGTAATTTTTTAATTTATAATTAAAAATGGAAATTTTAATTAATATTTAATAATTTAAATAAATACCTTTTATTTTTAATAAAATAATAATATATAAATAAATTAAAAATTTTAAATTAATTTATTAATATTATTATATTATTTATTATTATTTATTATTATTATTTAATAATATTATTATATTATTAAATATTATTTAATTTTTATTAATTTCAATTTGGCTCAATGAAAATTATATCTAGTAAAATTCTATTAAATAAAAATTCTAATAATTGATTTTTAGAACTTATTTATGCGTTTCAAAAAAAATAAAAATTTGCTCAAATTTTTCAATACCAAAAATTTTCAAATCCATAACAAAATCTGTTAAAAAATTTGATTCTCAGAATTTCTTCTTCGAAATAAATACCATTTATTACTGTAATAAATCCTTGTTTTCATAAAATAATCAAAATTTTTCGAATATTAGCAAAAAAAAAAAAAATAATTAAAAATTCCAAATTACCTAAATTCAACAGTCTCTTCTTCGGCAGCGCTTTGAATTTCCGGCTCAACAGTAAAATAGGGCACAGATTGCACTTCAAGTTTCATTGAATGCGAAATAACACTGCCAACTCCATTTGACGCCTCGCACGTATAAATTCCCTCATCGTCAAAAATCACCGTTTTAATCACCAATGTTTTACCATAATTTTTATGCGTCACACGTTCACTTAATCCAATGCGCCTTCCATTTTTACTCCAAACAATTTCTGGCAATGGTGTACCACCAAAAATACAATAGAGCTCCAATTTACCACCACGAAATGCAACCTCATTTTTTCTACTCAAATATTGACTAACTGGTGCATATTTATTTTGTGTTGCCGACGCCGATGTACTTTTTACATGAAGAAGAACTTTATTTCCCAATTTATATTCATTACGTACTTCAGAATAAATTGCGCATGTATAATAAGAATTTTCACTTGCATCAAATTTTGTCACATTACTAAACCAAAGATTACCCTCGGGATCAATTGTCATACGTGTATTATTTATTGTATTTACAGTTGCACCGGTTGCATGTTGTATTAACCAAAAAACACTTGGTTTTGGCCAACCATCTGGTGGTTGACAAGTCAAATGAAATGGTTTACCCTCTTCGGCTTCTTTAGTTTGTCGACCTTGATCTTTAAATGCATTTAATTCAGTTTTACGTACAAATACTGAATTTGACGTTGCACGTCCCCATTCATTTTCAGCGAAACATTGATATTGTCCCATGTCTTCTTCGCGTGGCCTTGAAATTACAAGGGTTCCACGACCCGTTTGTTGGGAAATTCGATCGTCATAGGCGGGCCATTCGAACATTTTTCCATTTTTTATCCATTTGTATCTGTAATGAGAAAGAAAAATTGTTAATTAAAATTTAAATAAATTAAAAATCGAATCGTTTTTATTTTTTTTTCATTTTTATTTGTTTTTTTCTTTTTATTTATTTTTTTCTTTTCAATTTGTTCTATTCATAAAGTTGTCGCAAAACATAATCAAGTTTTATTGTCATCTTAGCCAGTCAATTTGACCTAGAGAGCTAAAATTTGGAACAAAATTGCATTTTTGCTATTTAATTAATGATAAATAAAAGTGAAGGAAATTAATTTAAATAACATTCTAAACCAAAAATCACACCCCCCCCCACCCTAATTTGCAAATATTCTACATTTGTTCCGTTTGACCTAGAGAGCCGAAATTTGGTAAAAAATTTCATTTTCACGATTTAATTACAGGTTAAAATTTTAATTTTGTTTTAATAAAAAAAAAAATTATTAAGTTACGACTAAAATTAAAAGAAATTAATTTAAATAGCGTTGTAAAAAAAAAAATTCACCTAATTTTACTAATAAATAATCGACATTTGTTTCGATTTTGACCTTCAGAGAGGAAATTTGGTACAAAATTGCATTTTTGCTATTTAATTAATGACAAAAATTCAATAAAAGTGGAGGAAATTAATTTGGTACAAAATTTAATTTTCACGATTTAGTTACAGATAAAATTTTCTATTTTGTTTTAATAAAAAAGAAAAAAAAATAATTATTAAGTTACGACTAAAATTAAAAGAAATTAATTTAAATAGCGTTATAAAAAAAAATTCACCTAATTTTACTAATAAATAATCGACATTTGTTTCAATTTTGACCTTGAGAGAGGAAATTTGGTAAAAAATTGCATTTTTCCATATTGATTATAGAAAAAAATATATCAAATTAAATTGAAAATTAATTTTAACGTTTCCAATCGAAATTATCTAAATTTACAAAAGATCGAATTTTTTTTTTTTTTTATTACCAATTTTTGTCCTACAGAACTGAAATTTGTGAACAAAATTATTTCTTTTTTTAATTTAAAAATCGTAATTTTAAAAGTAAATTCCAAATATTATTTTATTCTTATAAATAATCAAAAAAAAATTTTTTCTAATCTAAAAATAAAATAATTTCTAAATAAAATTAGAAAAAAAAATTTAAAAAATTAAAAAAAAATAAAAATAAAATTAAAAAAAAAAATAAATAAAAATTAATTAATTTTTATTACTGAATAATGAAAAATTAAAATAAAATAAATAAATATTGAAGAATAAATGAACTTCATTAATGTTTAATAAAAATGAATCGAGAACTCTAAATGAAAGTGAAACTTCATTAAACTTAGATTACTTTGGCTGAGGACTTGAAATTGAAAAATAACTTCCTGCCTAAAAATAGAGTTTGACAATTGAAACATTAAGTGAAGTTATCTTTAAAAAAGAATTAAATCGATTTAAATATTTAAAAATTTCGATTTTCTTTTCTTCTAAATGTTTTTTTTTCTTCGTTTTTTTTTCATATACCTATTTTTGAAAAAGGTGAAACAAAACCTAAAAGTTTCGAAATTTAAATAATTTCCACAAAAAAATAAAATAAAACAGAAAAATAATTTTATTTTTCAATTATATATTTTTTTAGGCCTCGGATCGACTTTAAGGCACAAAAAAAAGTCGTTTTACTCGACTTATATTCCAAAAAAGTATAAAGAAAAAAGTCGATTTTTTTATTTTAACAAAATTTAATTGATTTAATTTTATTAATTATGTAATGAGAATAATTAAAAAAAAGTATTATCAAGAAAATTTATTTCCAATATTTCAGAATCGAACTAATTGTAAGAAAAATTTTCCAAATTTTATTTAATTTGTACAAATTTCTAAAAAAAAAAATTCTTAAATTCCTTTTTTATAATTTTTTTCAAGTCTGATTTAAGTAATTTATTCGAATTAAAAATTTTTGTTATAGTTTTTAGTTTTGATGGTAAAAAAAAAATTTCCGGCAATACTTAATGCTTTTATAAATTTTTAAATAAAAACTTTTTTTTTTTTAATAATTTTGGAAGAGTTAAAGTTGAAATTTTTAGAAATAATTGAATTTAAATTTGTTCATTTTTCAGACAATAATTAAATTTTACAGTAACTAAAAATAATTTATTAAATAATTTTTAGATAACATTTTTTAAATGTAATTGAATTTTCAAAAATTTACAAATTTTTATTTTTGAAATTAATTAAACTTCAAGTGATTTTCAATTTAAATTTTTTGATAATTTCACTAAAAAATTTATTAGAAATTTCAAACAAAATTACAATAATTTGAAATTACGTGAAAAATAGTTTCAGATAGTTGAATTTTCGAAGAATATTATAAAAATAAAATAAAAAAAAAAGTTGATGAAGAATTTATTAGTAATCACATAAAAAAAAAAATGAAATTCAAAAGTTTTTAATTGAAAAATGCTTTTAGATAATTGAATTTTCAAATAATATTATAAAAATCATTAAAAATAATTGAAATTTTTGCAAATAATTAAATTTCAAGTGATTTTGAATTACAAATTTTTGGTAATTTTTTTGCTACTTCTTTTTAAAATTATAAACAATTATTAAATTTCATAAAAATTTGAATTGAAAAATAATTTAAAATAATTGAATTTCTAGAGGAGTTATAATTGAAATAATTAAATTTCAAAAAAAATTAAGATGGAAAAATTTTGAAATAATTAAATTTTAAAAGTTTTTAAATTGAAATTTTGGAAAATAATTGAATTTTAGTTGATTTTGAATTGAAATTTTTGAAAATAATTAAATTTTAGTTGATTTCAATTGAAAATTTTGGAAATAATTGAATTTAAGTTGATTTTAAATTAAAATTTTTAGAAATATAATTGAATTTTAAAAAATTTTAGATGGATAATTTAAAAAACTTTTAAATTGAAATTTTTGAAAATAATTGAATTTCAAAAGATTGTGTTAAATTTTAGACAATAATTAAATAATAAGAATTTTTTTTTAGTAATTTCTGTTGATGAAGAATTTATTAGAAATCACAGAAGAAAATTGAATTCCAAGAGTTTTTAATTTGAAAAATGCTTTCAAATAATTGAATTTTCCAAAATTATTTGAAAAATCATTAAAAATAATTGAAATTTTTGAAATACAAATTAAATTTCAAGTGATTTTGTATTAAAATTTTTTGGTAATTTTATTTGCTATTTTTTTTTTTAATTATAAACAATTATTAAATTTCATAAAAATTTGAATTGAAAAATAATTTAAAATAATTGAATTTCTGGAGAGTTAGAATTGAAATTATTAAATTTCAAAAAAATTTTAGATGGAAAAATTTTGAAATGAAATTTTTTGAAAATAATTGAATTTCAAAAGATTGTGTTAAATTTTAGACAATAATTAAATAATAAGAATTTTTTTTTAGTGATTTCTGTTGATGAAGAATTTATTAGAAATCACAGAAAAAAATTGAATTCCATTAGTTTTTAATTTGAAAAATGCTTTCAGATAATTGAATTTTCCAAAATTATTTAAAAAATCATTGAAAATAATTGAAATTTTTGAAATACAAGTAAAATTTCAAGTGACTTTAAATTAAACATTTTTTGCTAATTTTATTTTGCTAATTTTTTTCTATAAATTATAAACAATTATTAAATTTGATAAAAATTTTATATTGAAAAATAGTTTAAGATAATTGAATTTCATTAAAATTATTAAGAATAATTAATTTAGTAAAGAATTTTAATTAAAAATTTGTTAAATAATTGAAATAAAGAAGATCTGTATTGTATACTAAAAATCGTATTTTGTTTTTGTTTTTTTTTTTTTAATGTAAAAAAAGAGTCGAAAAAAGTCGCATTTTATTAAAATATCTCGAAAAAAGTCGGATAATCCGAGGCCTTTTTTTTTATTTCAATCTTCCGGAAACGAATAAATAAATAAAAAAAAAAAAAAAAAAAAAAAATTGAAAATCGTCTCTCCTCAAAAATCACGATTAATTCAATTATTATTTATTGCGGAGGATAAATAAAGAGCAAGGTTACATATGTACTTCCGTATGTGTGTATATAATCTCGACAAATCGTAATAAATTAGATAAATAAAAATCAAATTACAAACGCGCGGGGGAAAAGTTAATTTTTCTGAATGAGAAAAAAAATTGGTCAGTTGAGAGAATATAATGATGATAATATATAAAAAAAAAATTTTTTTTTTTAATCCTAATGAATGCGTCTCGCGAGAGAAAACCCACAAAAAGATACAATGCGGGAGATAATAAATTCTTTTCCTCATATTATTAAGTATTTCTTTTCTTTTTTTTTTGTTTAATTTCTTTTTTTTTCGTTTTCATTATGGTGCGGGTTTGTAAGACGCGATAATCAGAGACCACTCCCCACATTCAATGTGACTGTACACACTTTCTTTGTAGTTGTACATATATGTACAAATACATATATATAATATATGTAACTCAATACTGTCTAAGGTTCCATGAGGTCATCCAAGTAATTAAGATCAGTTACTCTGACTTCCCTCTCTCCATACAAGTTTGACCCAAACCACTCTCTCGCGACAAGTGAGTAAGACGACACTTTATGAATGGAACTTGTATATTATATTTTAAATGCCCATCGCTATGGAATTTTCACGGTATTTCTCAATTGTCTTCGGAGACTGTTGGATTAATTTCAATAAATAAATTGTATAATAATTTTTTTTTTCTTAACTCATTAAATTTCCCTCTTTTATCAAGAAAAAAAAAAGTCGAAAAAAATAATAATATTAATTAATAAAACGCAAATCGAATAAAATATTTTGGTAAAAGAATTTTTTTTTTAAATTTTCGTTTCTATTTTTATTTTTATTTCCATTTTTTTTTTATCTATATATTTTTATTTATTTATTTTTATTTATTTATTTTTATTTTTTTATTTACATTTTTATTTATATTTTTAAAAAAATTTTATCTATATTTTATATTTCTTTTAGTCCTACGAATAATTAAACTAATTTACAGGTCTCGGATCGATTTAAAGGCACAAAAAAAGTCGATTTATATTCCAAAAAGAGTCGTTTTTTTTTTTATTTTAACAAAAAAAATTTTAGATTTTTTAAATAATAATAATAATTTTGAAAAGGGTTAAAGTTGAAATTTTAACAAATAACTGAAATTTCAAAAGTTAATTTTCAGACAATAATTAAATTTTACAGAACTAAAAATAATTTATCAAATAGTTTTAGATAAAAATTTTTAAAAGTAAATGAATTTTCAAAGATGATTAATTTTGAATTGAAATTCTTGAGAATAATATTGAATTTTAGTTGATTTTTAATTGAAAATTTTAATAATAATTAATGTTGAATTGAAATTTTGGAAAATAATTGAATTTTAGTTGATTTTAAATTGAAAATTTGGAAAATAATTGAATTTTAAATGATTTTGAATTGAAAATTATGAAAATAACTGATTTTTAAAAGATTTTGAATTGAAATTTTGGAAATAATTGAAGAATTTATCAGTAATTACAAAAATTGAACTTAAAAATCTTGCAAATTGCAAAATGATTTTAGATAATTGAATTTTCGAAGAATATTATAAAAATAGTTTAAAATAACTGAATTTCAGGAGGATTTTTGAAAATAATTAAATTTTAGAAGCTTTTAAATTCAAATTTTTGAATATCAATTAAATTTCAATTGAAATTTTGGATAATAATTGAATTTTAATTGATTTTTAATTGAAAATTTTAATAATAATTAATTTTGAATTGAAATTTTTGAGAATAATTGAATTTTAGTTGATTTTAAATTGAAAATTTGGAAAATAATTGAATTTTGAATGATTTTGAATTGAAAATTATGAAAATAATTAAATTTTAGTTGATTTTAAATTGAAATTTTTGAAAATAACTGAATTTTGAAAAGATTTTGAATTGATTTGTGATTTTGAATTAAAAAGTTTTGGTAATTTTATTTGTTTTTCTTTTTAAATTTTAAACAATTGTTAAATTTTATAAAATAATTTAATTGAAAAATAATTTGAAATAATTGAATTTGTGATGAATTTCATTAAAATTTTTTAAAAATAATTAATGCATTTTATACTTAAAAAAACGTATTTTATTTAAAAAAATTTTTTTAAAAATGTAAAAAAAGTCGAAAAAGTCGCATTTTATTGAAATAAGTCGAGAAAAGTCGTATTTTTGAAAAAAAGTCGAAAATAATCGAAAAAGTCGTATAATCCGAGGCCTGAATTTACATATTATTTTTGAAAGAAAATTAAATGAAATTTCTGTTAAAATTCTTATAAAATGAATTATAAAGCATATTTCATTTTCCGATAAAATTATTGAAATTTTTTACCAGAATCATTTGTTCGAAAAATAAAATTAGTTTCATTTTTTTTTTTACGAAAAATTCAATTTTTTATTTATTTATTTTTTTTTTTGAAATCACTATTAAAAATAGAATTTTCAAAAATTATAAACGATTATAAATATTAAAAAAAAAAAGATTAAAAGGAAAATTATAGTGAAAAAAGTGACTGAAATTAGAATTTTGAAATCAAATTTAGAATTGAACATACGAATAAAATTACAATAAATTAGAATTACAAAATTAAAAATGAAATAATGTTATTTTATTAATTAATTACAAAATTTAATTAGCATCGAATAAGAATAAATTTACAATATTAAAAGCAAATAAATTAAAAATAAAAAGTTAATTGAGAATTAAAATAAATAAAAATTTTAAAAAATTGCAGAATCAAAAAAAATTTTATTTATTAAAATAGAAAATGAATAAAAAACTAAATAATTTCAATTAAAGTATTAAATATAGTAAATAATAATATAATTATAATCGAAAACGAATATTTTGATAAAATAATAAAAAAAAATATATTTTATCAAATATAAAACTTACAATCAATTAGAATTACAAAAATTTTAAATAATTATTATTTTTTTCATCTTTATAAATTTAATTAAAAAGCAATAGGAATAAATTTACAATACTAAATGTGAATAAATTGAAAATAAAAAATTAATTAAAAATTAAAATAAACGAGAATGTAAGAAAACAAAATTATCAAAAAATTAAATAAAAAAAAATTTGAATTATTAGAATAAAGAATAAAAATTTCAATTATTATTAAATAGTAAATAATATTATATATAAATAGTCGAAAATTAATATTTTGTAGTAAAAATTTCAATTGGAATAATTTATCTTTTTTTTTTTTTAAATCGTAATTTTCAATTATTTTTTCCATTAAATTATATATTAATATTAATAAATAAAATAAATTCAATTACCTTGGTGCAGGTTCACCTTCGGCCTCGCATTCGATTAAAAAGGGTTTTTCATTTTCATTTTTGTTGACTTGAGCCACTTGAAAGAGTAATTCGCCCGTGGGTGGTTGTTTTGTTATAAGTGGAGGTGATTGTACTAAAAAAAAATAAAATTCATCACTGACAAGATTTTCAAGACTTCTTTATTCAAAAAAAAAAAAAAAAAAAAAAAAAAGAAATGAAATAACATTTCTAAGAAACAATTGTGTTCTATTTTTTTTTTTGTATCGTCTTGTGAAAAGGGAAATGTCTGTTAAAAATTTCTAAATGCAAAATCATTCTCTATAAAATAAAGCGGAAGAAAAAACCAAAACGCAAACAATTTTTCGCAACAAAAATTTTTATATTAAAATGAAAAATAGTTTTAAATAAAAATATTTCACTTCAATATATTTTAATATTAATTAATAATAATTATTCATTATTAATTTAATAATTATTAGAATTATAAAAATTAATTACTAGAATAATTAATTATTGAAATTAATTAAAATAAATAAATTTAATAAAAATATTATTTAATAATTATTATTTTCCAAATAAAATAATTTTATAATAAAAATTAAAATATTTTTATAATTATTATTTTAAATAAAAAAAAAAAGTAACAATTTCAACTTAAATCGAAAAATTGTTCACGTACGAAATTTTTGCGCTAAAAAAAAACACTTTTTATTTGTTTATCAAACAAAACGTTCCATTTGATAGATCGAGTTTATCTCGATTTGAAGGGAGTTTGTTGTTTTTAAAGTATCTTTGTGTGTGTGTGTATGTAAGAGAGAATATGAAAGACATCGAAAAGAAACTAAAAATTATGTTCTCTAAAAGAAAAGCACACACATACATTCATTGTTTGTGTATTTACATAAAAATAGAGGAAAAATCTATATTATAACAAATATAGGTAGATGAAAACTATACACAACGTATATGGTATTTATGGTGATTTATAATGATTTTTAATTAAAATTTGAAAAAAAAAATTAATTAATTAAGAAAAAATGGGTCGGGGACGAGAAAATCTAACGAAGAAAAAAAAATATGGAATGAATAGCATGATTCAATCCAAAGCAAGGGAATAATGACGATCTGAAAAATTTTTCCTTCCGCAGAATATTTTCAATTTTTTTTTTTTTTAAATTTATGTTCCAAATAAAATAATAATAAATTAATTTTTCCAAATTTGAAAAAAAAATAATAATAATAAAAGATAATTTTACCGTCACAGAAAAATGATTTTTAAATATTTAAAAAAAACATTAAAATTCAATTATAAATTAAATTATTACAAATTATCTAAATTTTCCTTCCTAAGTAGTTTTAATTTAAAAAATTTTCTAATTACATATTTTTTTTTTTTTAAGAAAATTCAAAATAAAAAATGTTTACCAATAAATTATTATAATAATTAAAAAAAATAAATTATTGAAAGAACAGTTTTTATTATTTTTCATCTGTTACGTCCGGACGTGTCGGTTCGACCTTTGTTTATATTAAAATTTGAGAAAAGGAAACCAATGATGATATATAATTATTTATAATGATTATATATAAGCATGTGTGACAATGTTGATTGTGTGAGCTCACCGTATGTATGAATAAACTAACAAATTGTTTAATATAAGTTATATGTTAATAGTTAATTGTCTTCATTTTATATTTTACCAATATTTTAATAATAATTCCATGTTTCTCCTAATATAATGATATTTTAGCATTGTATGTGTACAAATTCAACAAATTTCAACAAATTCTAAATCATAAAAATAACCCTAAACTTAAAATCCTTGAAGAAGATTATTAAGAATTTGGGAATTTACGTATTATAAACTTATTATTCCAAGAGACGATTTAGAGAATGGACCATCTTGTCACTTCTTTTGAATTGGAGCCTTCTTAAGCTGGGTCCTCGTTTATTTTTCATTTATCAATTTTCCATCTACTAGAGTTTATTGCGGTAAACTCTATCATAAAAAAAAGGTGCACTCGAAACTCTAAAAAAAAATAACAAGACCGAGGTCTGTAACGCAGATGCTCGGTAATAAACTTAGACCCACAGTAATGAGTCATTTTGGGACCTAAACCCCACCCTCTGCATGATTTTTCTCCTCTTTTCCATTGCTAATTGCGATTGGAGGAAATTCTTTTTTGGAAGGGAGAAAATTACAAGGTAGGGATATGATTTTGGCAAATTTCAATCCTTGAGGCCCTCGAGTGTCACCTTAAGTCAGTATCTTTTTAAAACTCATAAGAGTAGTTAAAATAACGAGGTCTCTGTTTACGGGCCCCTTTTCAAGTTCTTGCTGGACTTTGTCCACCTTTTAAGAACCCCTGAAGTGCTCGTGGTCGGTCCTCTTTGTGTCTTCTTGATTTTTGCCCGTGATCTAAATAGTTCCGGTAGTTTAATTAAAATTAAAATAAATAAAACCCATAATCTTCTTCAAGGATATCGACGTCTATTGCTGTACTCATGGTATAGTAAGTAAAAATCTTAACTATTTTCAATGTTTTATTCGGAGAAATAGAGTTGTTTTAAATAAAGGCAGAATTTAAAATTTAATTGTTTTATTCCACGGTGTGGGTTGGTACTCCCTTTGAAAGAGTAAGGATCCACAGAGATATTAAGTAAAATATCCTCTTAAAGTTAAATAAATTAAAATTCTTGAACGTCAACTTCCGTGACGTAACAGAATTTTTGGTGTCAGAAGTGGGATGTCTACTCGTAACCTGCCATGGAATTTATATTTTCTCTGTAACTTGATTAGTTATTAACGGCTAATTGAGAGACTGTTAAAATATTTTTATAGTTGTTTTGATTATAACCGATTTCCTCCGAATAAACTATTGAATTATTATTTTTATCTATATTAGAGTTGGTTCGGCTGCGAGTAAATCTTCTTGTAATTTTGCAATTGGCCTAGAGAATTTCGGATTGAACTTACAGTTTAAAACATACAATTACAGTTTATTTGATTTAAGTGAATTTTGTTAGATCAAGCTTAAAGTAAATTTGTTGTACAGTCAAACATTTTTTTTTTGAGTTTAATTAAAGCAATATCATGTTTAACCATAAGATATGTTTAATTTCAACTTAATTATTATCAATTTTCATGTCTGAATAAACATAATTATTCTAGTACAAAATACTTTTGAATCAAGGTAGTACATATTTTATTATTGAAATTTTGAATAGTGTTTTCTCAGTGCATCCTTTAACTTCAATTGTAAGATTGTATAATATTTCTCGCAGAGGAACTTACTCTATTTGTACATGTTGTGATTTATGTTCTATTATCGAATAATGTAATACGGTTACCTGCTGTCATATTGCCTATTCTACCGCGTGATTTTTTTTGTCTTTCTTCGACCTTATTGTCTTCTCGGTAATTGAATAAATTTCATAATGTCAGAAACATCCGACGCTGCGGCACTCGCCGTCACGGCAATGACGGAATATTTTCAAACCCAAACTGTTTTGAACCAGATACCCACATTCGACGGGAAAAACACAGACCTTCGCAATTTTGTTTTAGAAGTTGAAAATGCATACTCCCTTCTCGGTACCGGATATGATCAGAACAAATTCATTAAACTCATTCTTCCAAAATTAAAAGGTATTGCTCGCGAGTCCGTCGAAGGTAAAGAGTTATCTGATCTCAATTCTTTTACTAAACACCTTAAGGAATCCTTTTCCACCACAACCCTTCCTTTCGGTCACTATCATTCACAATTGGGTCAAGCTAAAATGGCACCCACAGATACAGTGAATGAATTCGGGCTTAGAATTAAAGAATTGATAAAGAAATGCAAAGCCGCACTATCAAACCAGTTTGACTCGAACCAAGTTGTCTCTTTCATGCCCTTGATAAATTCAACAGCATTAAATGGCTTCCTTCGCGGTTTGAGAGGCGATCTTGAGCTTCGAGTAGCCATTCACAAACCTTCGACCTTAGATGAAGCCATTGAATACGGACGATTAGAGGAACAAGTAGCTGCTGAAAGATACACTACTCGCGGGCCAACGATTGCTCACCCACCACCATTTTCGCGACCTTTCCGACCTCCGCTATCTGGTCAACGAAACTATGGATATGCCGAACCATTGAGACCGACCTTTCCACCACAGCCTAACGAGCGATTTGTCCCTCGCGGCCCAAATATTCAACTACCAACGGGAAGTAATACAATCCAACGGGATGAATTAAATCGGCCTTTTATGGCGCCAAGAAACGCAGCGTTTGCCAGTGGTCATTTTAGACCCCCACTACCTCGATACGGTGAATACCCTGTAAGAGGAACTCACTACGTGCATGAATGGGATCAGTATTATGCCGAAAATCCATCTTATTATCCATATGACAGCCCTAATCATTTCGCAGAACATCCGGACAATTATATGCAGTCATATCATTCGTATTATCCAAATGAACAATCGTGGGGAGGATACGCACCCACTCTCACATCTCAGCCTCCAACCTTTCCTGAACATAAGGAAGGGGAGGTGCACCAATCATTGACCACTTACGTGGACCCCTCCCATTCTTCGAATACGTCCTATGCTTCTCAAGCAATGCATAGTGATCAACCAAAAGAAAATTTAAACTTGACAGGCGCTCGTCTCAATATACCAGAGACGAGCGCTCCGGCGATGAACCAATCATTTCAGAAAACCCAAACTTTCACAGTCATGAAAGCTTCGAGATTACAGAACCAAACACTGAAACAATAAAATATCCAGAAATAATTGCTCGATCAACCGCCTTTGCTGGTGGACAAGCTCGTCTTCTGGTGGACACAGGATCACAAGTGAATCTCATCGACTTGCACTCACTTGATCCGTCCACTGACGTTTATGTTGGTGAGAAACTTTCCATCACCGGTATCTCCTCGACAAGTCTAAATAGCGTGGGTTTCGCTCTTATCGAACTTTGGGGAATTGTCACTAAATTCCACGTGTTTGCTGATCCCTTTCCTTTACCAGGAAATGGAATTATCGGTCTTGAATTTCTCAGAGCTGAAAAAGCTGAAATATCATTTCACCATGATACAATGGTACTTGACAGTAATCCTATTAAGCCAATTCCTTTTTTAAAAATG